TTTTCTCTTTAACTTTTGGTACGCCAATCTTATTCTTTATGTTAAGACTTCGTTCCAGTTGTCTCCCTTTCTTTTCTTCCATTTTGGAGCCTTTGTCTTTTCACTTAGAAGTGACAATTGTTCTCTTAGCTTATTTATTTCGGTTTCTATTTTTCTTTCCAGACTGACATTTTTCTTTTTTGTTTACGTTGCTTTTTTTACTTTATCACCTATTGTTTCTGCGATCGTTGCAGAGGCTGCATGTATATGATGATTAATTTCTGTCAGGTAAATCGGTTTTTTCATTTCGTCACTTATTTTTCTAATTGCTTGGTTAGCGAGGTTGCTGGTTATTATTATTATTATTATTTTCTTTGATTTCTGGCGTTTACACATTTCTTTCCGGGTCCCGCCCAGGGACCTAAGGTTAGAAATGGTGTCATGACACTTTCCACTGACAAAAAAAAAAAAAAAAAATAAATTACATAGATAAAGCCCTTCGTAAGGTGTGGGCTGTACTTGTCAGAACAATTTTTTGTATCTCCTTGAGGCATGGACTTCCAGGAATCCCTTCAATTAGTCTACTGCAATCTTTTCCAACCAGTCCTAGGGCTCCAACTACAACAGGGATTGTTGATGTTCCCATATGCCACATTTTCGAGATTTCGATTTCAAGGTCCTTGTATTTTGACAACTTTTTGAATATCTTCAAAGAAACATTGCAGTCAGCAGGGACTGCCATGTCAATAAGGAGGCACCGTTTTTGTTTGTGGTCTTTAATAACAATATCTGGGCGGTTGGCCTTGATTGTTCTGTCAGCGTGTATTGTGTAGTCCCATAGAATTGTAACAGGTCCTATCTCCGTAACCGGGTCTTGGTGGTGTTCATACCAGTTTCTTTCAGTTTCCTTCCCGTAGAAGTTGCAGATTTTCCAGTGCAGATATTGGCCCACTCTGTCATGTCGGGTTTTATATTCAGTGGGTGCCAACACCGTGCAACCTGATACAAGATGATCAATCGTTTCTGGATATTTATCACAGAATCTGCATTTTGGGCTGACACAATATTTTAGTATATGTGCTTGATAATTCCTAGTTAGCAAGCATTGGTCCTGCAGCAAGGATAAAACCTTCAGTTTCCGCTTTCAACCCCTGCACTACGTAGCCACTGATGGGTACGGGTTTTGTCTACGTCAGCTTGTTTGGTACGGGCAGAGTATTGGCCATGAAGCGGTTTATCTTGTCATCGCTTCTGTATCTGGTCGGTTGCATTCGTCTTTGCTGTCTTTTTGGGTATTTTGCAGTTTCAGCCTGTGTATTGTGCTGTAGTTGCATCTCTACGCCATTTGAAACTCCATTTTGAATTTGTTGGCTTCTTTCATTACGGAGTAAAGACGCTTACTACTTTCATGTTCCTTGACGCATACCATCATCCAGTCTTCTGTAGTTTCCAAATATCTTTGAGGCCAATTGTTGTAGTTTTGTAGGACAGTTCTAGTTGAACTAATCCTCTGCCTCCTTCGGATCTGGGTACATACAGACGATCAACATCAGCTTTGGGGTGATGCATGCGATAGCAAGTGAGAAGCTTTCTCGTTTTGGCGTCCATTCGCTTAATTTCAGCTATGGTCCAGTTAAGGACATTAAAGCTGTATTGCACCACAGGGACAGCCAATGCGTTTATGGCTGATATCCTGTTTTTTGAGTTTAGCTCAGTATTTATTACCAGGCGTACACGTCTGTAGTACTCTTTTCTGATTTTTTCCTTCATTTGGGGGTGTTGTATGCCATCTCCTTCGCTAATTCCTAGGTACTTATAAGCTTCATCATGCTCCAGTTCCCTAATCTTTGTGACAAAATCTAAATCTATTAAGGGTGTTTCTGTAATTCTACCTTTCCTGAAAGTTACTTTTGCACATTTTGTCCATACCTATGTCGTCAATTTTACAATATTGAGGAGGCCTTTCAACTCATTGTCGTCTTTGGCAAAGAGTTTGAGATCATCCATGTAGAGTAGGTGATTGAATATTTTCTTATTTATTTTGTAACCATGGCTACTGTTGTTCAGTTCATGTGTAAGAGGGATTAAGGATAAACAAAACAGAAGGGGTGACAGAGAGTCTTCTTGAAAGATTCCACGTCGGATATTCAGACGGTTGGATATGGCAGTGCCCCCGGTGTGACTAAGGTATAGTTTGGCGTTCCACATTCCCATGCTGTGCTTAAGGAAATTTAATACCACAGGGGAGACTTTGTACATTTCCAAAGTCTTAAGGATCCAAGAATGTGGAACACTATCAAAGGCTTTACGATAATCAATCCACGCTGCACTTAGATTTCTACGTCGTCTCCTGCAATTTTCCAGGATCATTTTATTTATCAGAAGTTGATTTTTGCAGCCATATGAACCTCTTCTGCATCCCTTCTGTTCCAGCGGGAAAATGCTGTTTGTTTCGAGAAAGGAATAAGTACGGTTCGTCAGTACAGACGTGATCAACTTCTACGTTGTGGAGAGACATGTTATCGGTCTATAATTTTTCGGGTCTTCTGTTTCAGTTGTTTTTGGTATGAGGTGTGTAATACCTTCAGTAATCCATTCCGGGATTTTATTGGGATTATTTACAAGCGTTGATAATGTTTTTGCAAGAATTTCATGGGTAAATGTGAGATGATACAGCCAGAAATTGGGCAACTTGTCATTTCTTGGGGATTTCCATTTTTGGGATTTCGTTAGAGCTTGCCTAACATCATCTGTGGATATATTTTCCCATTCTTGCAGAGGTGTATCCAGCAGTCGTTCTTCTTCACGCCGTATCCATTCTGCATTTGGGTTATATTCCTTTGGGCTGCTCCAAATATTTTCCCAAAATGTCTGTACATTATCAATCGATGGTGGCCTTTCGACATGTATAGGTGTTTTTTCAATTTCCTGTAAAATTTCTTAAGATCTATTCGGAATATTTTATTTTGGCGATAGAACCTACAACGTTTTCGTATCGTCTTGTTCTCTGCGCCTTTAGCTGATGTTTTCTGCTTCAGCATTTCCTTGATTGATGGAATATCAATTAGGGATTTAATGTTATATTTCCGCTTGATCTTTTTGCATTTACGTGTGGAAATATTAGGGTTTCTGGTGAGCTCATCTAATATAGAAAGCTCACATCTGATTTGTTTTATTTCTCGAATCAGCTTGGTTTTCCAAGCTGGTTCTCTGTGTCTGTTAATTTTATTTATTGTCTTGACTCCAAGCTTCCGAGTCGCTGCTAAAGCTGTTGCGTATATGACGTTGTTAACTTCTGTGATGTTTCCCGGTGGTTTATCTGTTAACAGTGTTTCCAGAGCAGCATTGTATATTTTCACGATGTGCTTGTTGGAATTCGTCATATGGATTTTCGGGATCTGGTCTCTGTCTGACAATTGTATGAAAGTTACTCTGCTGAGTACTTGGATGACGTCATTTTTCGCTTCGGTGATTTCAACTTCGTGGTTTTCAAGGAATTCTAACTTATTGTCACTGAAGATGACTCCAGGTACATTTTCTGGAGGACTGCAGGTTGTGTTTAAGGTAGAGTCTTGGGTTTCATTTCCTGGGAGATTATTTCGTATTTCATTCGCTTTAGCGTCCACCTCATCCTCTGTTGCATTCCTTATTTCTACATTCGTCTCAATAGAGTTTGAGTGAGGGGTCATAGTATTTTGTCTTATATCTAATTTTATCTTATCTATTTCTGCCTTTGAGAGTCTGTTGTTTCGCATGATGTCTCTACGGACATTGGCAAGCATGTTTGGATTGAGGTTAGGTCTTATATCATTTTCCACCTTACTTCTCCATATTTGGTATGTTTGATTGGTGGTGTTCTTTCTTTTTCGAGTGCAGTGAAGAAGGATGTCATGAATTGTCGATACTCTTCGCGGCTCCATTTCGTTCGCTTACTTTTTATTAGTCGATTTGGTATTGAGTCACTTGGTCAAAGGTTGGCAATAATCCGGGTTTGGTGACCAAGTGTCTCTTCGTGTTTGGAAGAGTTTGTTCCAGTGGCAGACTTTTCGTCCTCAGACTGGTTCCTCTCTGAGGGACGCGGCCCTTGTTGTCCCGGTTGACGGCCGATCCGGTATGAAAAATTATTCGTATTCATTGAAATTGGTAGAGATGCGTTTTAACCTTGACCGCCAAGGGGTAATTATGTTCAGGTTACCAGCTTTAGGACGAGTCTCGAGGAAGATCCAAGAGCACGCCCAAACAATGAGATTGTGGATTTATTAATATAACGAAGGTAAAATAGTTCATAAGAGTGTATGGTATTCAGTGGGGTAGACTATACTAAGTTTTAACTTAGTATAAGTCCGAGTGACCACTCCAAGGGGGATAAATAGATTTTAGTATATAGACTTAAAAAAATTATTATTATTATTATTATTATTATTTCTTTTGATTTCTGTTTCAATAGTCATTTCCTTTTGGGTCCCAACCAGAGACCTAAGGTCAGAAATGGTTTCATGACATGTCCCACTGATCATTTTTGTAAAAAAAAAAATAAATAAATAAAATAAAATAAAAAGCCTAAGATCACACACATTTAACAAAGATAAAAGGTCTTCATAATATGTGAGCTGTACTTTCGAGTACAATTTTTTGCATTTCTTTAAGGCATGGGCTACCAGAAATTCCTTCAATGAGTCTATCGGAACATTTTCCAATCAATCCAAGGGCTCCAACCTCAACTGATGTTTTTATGTGCCACATTTTTGAGATTTCCATTTCAAGATTTTTGTATTTTGATAGTTTTATGAAGATCTTTAAAAATACATACAATATGCAGGGACTGTCATGTCAATAGGAAAATTACTATTATTGAAGGAGGGAAGGAAAATTGTTACTGTAGTAGTAGTAGTTGTAATAATAGGAGTTGGGATGATAAAGTCAATTTGATATTATTGTTGTGTTGGTAAAAACTTAATAAATAAGACCAAGGAAAAAAGAAATGCTTAAATGTCCTATAATCCCAATCCTTCCTTTTTCAGGCACAGAACCTCAATTTCCTGGTTTTCCCCCGACACCCTGGCAGCCACCAGCCGTTCCGTGGCGACCAATAAAGAATGTACCTCCATATTTTGGTTTCGACGAATATGAGGATCCAGAACGTCAAAAAGATCTGTTTGGACTCGATGAACAACCTTCTGAACCCGAGGATCTGTTTCCACCTTATTATCCTTCGCTGTGTGCAAATTATGAATGTTTCCCCAATCCGCTTCTACCTCCTTCTCCTTCTCCTCCTCCTTCTCCTCCTCCTTCTCTTCCTCCTTCTCCTCCTCCTCTTCCTCCTTCTCTACCAAATTTTCCCCCGTTTCCTCGTGATTTACCCCAATTCCAGTTTCCACAATTTCCGATATTTTCTAACCCATACCTTGAAGGTTCCGAATTTGACGAGAATCTCTTCTATGATGATGGACAGGAATATGGACTGCCAAACTTGAACAATATACGTCAAATAAATAAAGTATCAGGTGAGTGAAACTGTTGACACTTCACTTGCTTTAAAGAATTTATTAATTACTCAGTTTCGACATATTAGCAAATGGCTTTTTATTCGATTTGTACTGTTCCTTTCTGCATGGCCCGATATTATTGTTAATTTATTGTCAGCCTTTTCTCACTGGTTGGTTATTTCTAGTTGGTTCTATTACTAGTTCCGTCCTGGGTATGACGATAAACTACATCGACGTCCTTGGTAAGATGATAAACTATGTCCAACAGCAAAGCCTCTGATCAGAAGTTTTTGAGGAACGTGGAACCACCTCTTAATTGTTGGTGTTCCCAGGTCCACTCTGACCCGGAGTTGTAGCACCTGTTAGAATTCCAGCTAGTTAACCCACGAACTTGGGTCAAAACACTATGAAAATATAAAAATAGGTTTTAATACTAGAAATACTTTGCAAAAATATTATTACCAGCAATAAATTTTTGAAGAAAAAATTTATTACTAACAATACACTTTTGAAAAAAAATATTATCAGAAATAGATTTTTTGAAGAAAAAAATATTACCAGAAATAAATTTTTTTGAAAGAAAAAATATTACTAGGAACACATTTTTAAAAAAAAAATTACCAACAATAAAAATTATCGGCATTAAATAACCCATTGAGGTTGATATGCTGTAAAACAAACCAAACCAAACCAAACCAATCTATTACTACTTGTCATAGACAAAATCATACACACAAAATTTATTTCAACTAAAAAAATATTCTAACTATTAAGGGAAATCAATAGCCTGTTGTCATTATTTGTTGCAAAGAATGATTCATAATAGTATTATTATATTTTTGCCATTAGTTGTAAATTACTAATATTGCAAAAATAATAATGTCTTAATTATGAAATTTTTGCCATTAGGGGCTAAATTATGGAATTTTGTAGACATGTGGGCGAAAAGCGTAGAGTACTGTAAAACTATTGTCGTAAATCGGCGTTTGGGTACAAGGTATAACCTTAAAGCACACGGGGTTAAGGCATAAAAATAAAAATAAAAATAATTCGGTTAATGTTTTGCAAGAGTAACATACAGGAAACTGTGCTCTATGTTTTATTTTTCAATAATATAAATTTTAAATTTTATTTTCAGCAATCAGTAAAGTGGTGTAATGGATATCGGCTCGGAATGAAAAATCAGAGAGTGGGGTTCGAATTCCAGTCGGGATCATTACATTCACTTACGCGCAAATACCCTTGTGAAAGATATATATCCATCTCTTCTCCCCCAGCTATGGGTTGAATAGCAGGTTGGAAACCAGTCTACAGAAAGGAATGGCAACCCGCTGTGGGAAAACACGTCAGTCATTAAGCAAAAGATTGCCCAAGAGTGTATCGCGTATGGCACTTAAATCACTGAATGAACATAGACTATATGCTAATTATAAGCAGGTATAAACACGTGTGTGTCTGAGTGCGAAGACTCATAAAACTCTGTCTCACACACACTCAAATATATATATATATATATATGACGAAGGTTTCGCCATAAAATATCTTTAGGTTTGCTACACTGCCTTCTGCTCATGCGTGCTTATAGTTGGTACTGTGGTTTAAGCTTGATCGCGCCAGATTTCTTGCTGCTGTTACAGTGTAAACATAACCGCTCCGGTAGCAGTGTGCACTAAGGAGTTTTAATATTAAGTATGATAGGTTTGATAAAACCAGATTGGCCTCGAATCTGTTGAAGTGGCTTGTTAATTTTAACGCCACTAAAACGAAAATGCCTTCAATTGATCATCTTTTTTGCCTTCCATCAGCATATGGCTATGTTAACATTCAGGAGAGAAACTCGTCACATTTTCCACTGATATGAAGTGAAAAGATTATATTGAATCACTTACTAAGTCTGCTGATAGGAAAGTTGGTTCACTATGTTTTGCTAGACAATTTTTCTCGCCAGAATCTATCTTGCATATTTATAAGTCTTCCATTCGTTCGTGCATCAAATATCCTTTCCACTTCTGGTCTAGTGCTTTTTTTTTATATACCTAGATATTCTTGATAAAATCTAAAGAAGATTCGGCAATGTTATCGGTCCTGACCTGGCATCACGGCTTCAGTTATTTTCCTGCTGCTTCATCGTTGGTACCCCAATTTCACGAATTTAAGTGCAGAACTAGATTGGCAGTTAGGTCTCATAATTTCACTGTTGAAATTGCTAGTTGTAATCATAAATTTTATGCTAATACTTTCTTCTCTCGCATTTCTCGCTTGTGGAACTCTCTTTCGGTTTCTTGTTTTCATTTCAGCTTCAATCTTCAAAAATTTAAATGTAATGTCAGTCGCCATCTTCTGTCTTTTTGAATCCTGTTTTTGTAATGTTCTGTTTTTTTTGGTGGGGGGGGGGGTTGCACACAGTAAACCCTTGCAATCTAGTGGCTTTTATTTCTTGCTTGGAGTGAAATGCTTAAGATACACACACACACACACACACACACACACACACACACACACACACATACACGAATACAAAATATAAAAGTAGACACTAAGGTCAACACCGAGTGCCGACAGGCTGTCTGAAGCTAAAAACGCAATTTTCAGGCCATCATTACGATCAAGCATGAAGCGTAATTTTCAGTCCATAATTCGTTCAAGTATGTTTGGTTGAATAATTTAGATATGTCTATCTGTTTTATTTTAATCCTCTAAAATTCACGGGTTAATTTCTTAGTGTTGTTACAAAATTGATTAAGAAACACGATATAGATTTGGTTATTTATTTTATTTTCTAAAGTACTTCCAGTCTCATCCAAGATCAACTTCAGGGGTGAATCGCTAAGATAAAAAAATAATGTAATTGATGGATGAGAATTTTTTTGGAAATGCGCATGAAACACTCTCCGTTATAGTCAGTTTAAAAATTAACATCAAGAATATGTAAGGGAGGTAACTTAATCATATTTTTTTTATTAAATACCCAACCTGCAACTTAAAAATTTTATTACAAAAATTCTTGAAGCGCTCTATATAAAAAAAAATGCAACCAACACTAAATAAAATTAATTATGACTATAGCAAAAATGTTTTAAAATGTCTACAAAAGCAATATTTTGGGATGCTCAAATTGTAAAATATATATAGTGATTTTCCAAGCGTAGCTTAGATATGACACAAGACCGAAATTAGGTGGCACCCAGTGAGGATCAAAGTCACTACTCAGTCGTAATTGTTCTAGCGAGCCAAGCTTGCTAACCATTACACCGCCTCAATATATATATATTACACTGCCCCAGTATATATTTATATAAATGTAGAATGAACCACTGATGATTTCGTGCTGTTAGCTGATAACTCACAAAGGAATAGAACGAATATTATTCTTTTTTTCACTTGTTACATTTAATGTCTTTTAATTCTCACCGCTAAAAATTTGGTTGTCCTGTAATATTACAAATCCCCTTTGTATCAGTTGCCCTATATTTTTCTACTTGTTCTATTCTGTTTACATTTGTAGTTATTGTTCCTTTTCTTAGTAAGATTAAGTATCGAAGTTTATCATGCATTCTGAAATTATATCCATTACATGAAAGTACAACTTACAGGAATACAATTAATAATAATTGGTCATAACATAGAACTAGTAACTGATGGATTTAAAATATTAACTAATTATTTAGCGGTTTGCCTGAAAAATATATAGATAAAATCACCTAGGTATTTTTCTTTTACATGCTCAACAAGAAATGTTATTTTATTTTTTTTTTTGCTGGAAATTAACCTCAGCCGGATGTTAACAAACTGAACATATATTGCTGTTTTTTTCCAAAATTTTCACAGAATTCTTTTCAAGCAACAAATTGATCAATCAGAATATCTGAATCAGACACGAGATTCCGGTTCAAAAACAATTCAACGATATTTCTTTGATTCATGAACTCAATTAAATTTCTATTTAAAACATGTTTATCTGGAAACATTGTCATAAAATATTCCTTGCATTCTTTACCCAGACAAGTTCAATATATGAACTCATTCAATAGAATACTTGTTATCACACTTACGAGCTTACTTAATTGTTATATTTCAATTGTTCTCTTCTTATCTGCAATAGAAATATTCCAAGACTCTCAATAAATGCCTGAAACCGCGAATAGTACCGGACCCTATATCTGGTATATATTTCCTATGTGTACATTCTTATTTAGGCACGACGGAATAATGGATAGCGGCTCGGATTGAGGAATCGGAGAGCCGAGTTTGAATTTCAATTGAGTTCATTACATTCACTTACGATGATTCATACCTTTCCCATGTATTATCCCTTGGGAAAGGTATGAATCACCGTCTTCTCCTTCCAGCTATGGTTAAATAGCCTTGGATGGCAACTGGTCTACTGTAGAAAGAAATGGCAGTCATGTATCGAAAAATACATGATCGCCTAAGCGTGTATCACGCATAGCACATAACTGACATACTTATAATAAAGTTTAATTTATAACTTAGATACGATAAGAGATTCACAATAAGAACTAACTATAAACAGAAACAACTATAACAATATGCTGTAACAAAAGTTATGTGACAGAAGATTTGTTCTTACCATATAATTTTTTTCTTGATTGAGTACTTTCACTATTTCACTTAAAGAAATCAGTTTACGGCTTCCTATTTGGCATACCCGAATTGTCAGCATCAACACTGCACATTGGGATCATTATTAACCCTGCGTTAGTCACCTTGGATTTCCGAAAATGGATAGTCCCCAGGGGTCTGCTTCCTACGACAACTGAGCTACAACTGTGCCACACCACAGGCTACACACCGCGTGCTACACACCCTCACTTTGTCAGGAGAGTAGTGGGAGGGAGCAAAAGTTGCCAACTAGGAATTATGAGTACTTTAAAAATTTGGGGGAAACAAAATATTCCATGTGACTAACGCAGGGTTAAATAAAAGTTATTAATGGGGTATTTCTAAAGCTTACCGCGGTTAAACGAAACAGTGATCTCAAAACAGCAAACAATAGA